GCTTTATTCTGAGACATCAAAGCCTTGTAAAATATAGTCAGCCTATAACATTTAGTTTTGCCTGGAGCCATTAGTGTACAGAAGCCTCAAATCTACTTTGGAACTAATGCAGTAAAAAGAATAAAACTTACACAAGGGTGGAAAAGACGGAGACTGTAAATTTAAAGCATAACTGCCTGAGCTTTTTTTAGTATGACTCTTTAACATGAGAAAATATATAATGTTCATTTCCTCACTGCAAGTATTTTTTGACGTACTGACTCATGAATTTCATTTTTAGTCCTCCTCAAATACGGTGTCAGTTCTGTTTGGATGCTCTCGCGGCTATAATTGGCAGAAACAAAGAGGAACCTTTCATTATGTTTAGAAAGAACATTGGTATGCCTCTTAGCTGGTGAAGGAGGATGCGTGAGGTATGGTGGATTCTTTCCAGGAACAAAATCAGTGTGTTTTAGTGGAGCTGTTTCTCAGACGGATGGTGGAGCGTTGGCTGTAACATCTTGAATAATTGATGTCTTTGTTGCTCTGCCTCTAAAGGTTCCCAGCAGACATCAGTATTATTCAGACGTGTGAAGAACTGCACATTGCTGTTGCATGCAGTATTTTTATCATACCAATAATTGGGCAGCTTGAAAACAACCACGGAAGAAGCCTTGTAAACCAGCATGTGTACATAAGTGATTGACACATTCTGACTAGTGCTGTTGCTAAAACTACAAACTCTTATCAGTTTATGAGCTTGGAATTGATTTACCACTGGTTTAGGCAGATGCTCGTTTTTTAGTTTGACTTCGCTACTGTACCTGTTCTGTGTGACCTTTATTGTGACAAACAGGATGGTTAGGAGTAGCTCGGCAGATGAGCAGATTTCCACTACATCCCCTGAGTCTTTCAGGTTTGAGTTAACCAGATGGGATTTATGGTGTTTGAAGAGATTTGGATTTTTTTCTGGGATGGTTCAGGTTCATTCGTCTATTTTGGATGTAAAGGTCTCTGTAAATCAGTCTAAAGATAAAATATACCCTGAGATATAATATACTATTTTATAAACAATCAAAATGCTTTTATTTTTCTGACACTTCTTTGTTCATCTGTTGAACTTTTTCACAAATATCTTGAAAGATTAAAATTCATCATTTTTGTTTTTAAACAGTTTCAAAAATCCATAACAGAGCACAAAACTATCCTCACTAAGGTTGTATTCACACCAGGAAAATCCTTTGGTCCGATTTTTTGGTCCAGACTAAGTAGCAGACTTTTTTTTTTCCTTTGGTGCGGTTTGCATTCACATTGTGCTTTTTGCAAGTGAACTATAATTAATAAACAAAGCCATGCAGGTGACGGTCATTGTTCCCATTGAACAGAAATGATGGGGGCAGGACAGAGCACAGACCCTGAAATAAAGATGGTTCTGTTAGTATAACTGAATACTAAGAATATCAAGAGCAGCTCATTCAGTGGCGTTTTTGCAGACAGCATTGTCAAATGTGCGATGCAACCTAAAGAAGATGAGATACTCTGCGTTCCCTGACCTACAACGGCTCATTTTTTGTAGCGCATTGTTAGCATTAGCAACACTGAAGGGCTAATGTTGCTTAGCTACGGTGGCCCGTGAAGTCCAAAAAGGCCACCAGAAGCGATTGTTTGGAAGCGGACCGAGACCACCTCAAAAATGGGTCTCGGTCCAGTTGTTTGATCTACACCAGGGTTCAGATGAGTGTATTCACACCTGCATAAAACAAACTCTGGTCTGTTTAAAGCTGACCAAATGTGTCAGGTGTGAATACACCCTGAGTTTTTTTCTCTCTGTCTATTTGCACGGGACAAAAATATTTTCCTCTGTGTTCTTTTTTATTGTCCAGTTGGTTACACCATGAATGACTTGATCTTTGAGTGGCTGTCTGACAACCCTGTTCAAGTAGCCGATGACCTGACCCTCCCACAGTTTGTGTTGAAAGAAGAAAAAGATTTGGGTTACTGCACAAAATACTACAATACAGGTACTGAATGAATGGGGCTAACTATCTGAAAAATGTTTTATCATTTTTATTAACACAAAATGTAACTTTACAAACTATTTTATATTTCATTTCATCATCGGCATATAATTGAACAAACCATGTAATATGCCTGCAGGTAAATTCACCTGCATTGAGGTGAAGTTCCACCTGGAGCGACAGATGGGTTACTACCTGATCCAGATGTACATCCCGTCTCTCCTGATTGTCATCCTCTCCTGGGTGTCGTTCTGGATAAACATGGACGCTGCACCAGCCAGAGTTGGTCTGGGTATCACCACTGTGCTCACAATGACCACGCAGAGCTCTGGCTCCAGAGCTTCACTGCCCAAAGTGAGTCAGCAAAATTTTTTCTGATTATTTCCAATTAATGACAATCACATCATTTGTGGGTTGAACCAGTGGTGCTCACAAAAAACTGAATATCCTGATTTCCGTTTAATTTACCCTTTCAATTCACTGAAATAAAAAGGCCCCAAGATTTTAAAATAGTATCACCTTTTGGTTTTATTTCCCAACAAGGCTAGAAACAAGAAAATAAAACAAGTGACAGACATTTAATGACAGTTACAGACAAATAAAAAGACCTTCTAATTGTGATTTCCCAAGGCTAGTTTAAGTCACTCATTTAAGGGAGGATTTGAATAAGAATAAATGAAGTCATAGCACGAGGCAGATCCTGATTTATGATGAGGCTAGAGAAAATAATTAAGGGGAACACAATGGGTGTGTAATTAAAATGTATGTATACTTTAGTGTTTGTGACAGTCAGCAAAACACTGCTTAACTGCATGAAGCTTAAATGATGTGAAGTGACGTATCTTCTTTCATGAATGACCCAGCTCCTCATGTCTTGGCAGTGACCTGTCTTATGGTTGTGGGTCAGCTGACCACGACCCACTGACTCGTTTCAGTTCTAGGTCATCCTAAAGATATGCGTCAGTGGGACCTAGAACGGAATAATGGTCGTCTTATTAACAATCCACAAATTAACCATCACCTACATTGATTGGCTGTTGATCTGTTCACAGGTGTCCTACGTAAAGGCCATCGACATCTGGATGGCAGTGTGTCTCCTGTTTGTGTTTGCTGCCCTGCTGGAGTACGCAGCCGTCAACTTCGTCTCAAGACAACACAAGGAGTTCATCCGGCTGAGGAAAAAGCAGCGGCAGCAGAGAATAGTAAGTGTAAAACGTGCAGAAACGAACCGTTAAAATGTGGAAAAATTCACCCACTGACACTGTCTGTATCGGATTCCAGCAATGTGAGGTAAACACACGCACGCGCAAACACACACACACACACGCCCTTGTCAGCTCCTATAACACTGAGTTGTGCCTCTTGTTATTGTGGCTTGCTGTATATTCAGGCACTGACAACATCAACACGCTACAGCTGGCTGTCATATTACATGAGGACGCTCTGCTCATCGCAGCTCAGCTCATTTCCATGCTGGTGCACTGACCTGTGAGCAGCTTTTTGAACCTTTTCATTTTTGCTGAATTTCCACCAGCAGCTGGCACTGGGATCCCCCGAACCCTGCTACACTGATTTATTTTTTATTTTTTGTTTTTTTACATTTACTGTGGAACACACAGCAGAATATTTCACAGTAAATTGTTGGCAGGCCCACTTGAATCTCACAATGACAAATAGGATTGTTTATCAGGCTCATCCTCATTTGATCCTCATATTTTTTCTGAGAGTAGTATTTCTCTGGGCCGAAACTAAAACTTGACTCAATGTTGAGAGAAAATAAACAGATTTTTAGTTGTAGTCTCACTGGATTCTGAGCGTTGGAGACGAGAGAGCCGTCCGGCAGCATATTGCACAGCCAATTTTTGACAATCAGTGCTTATTTTCATGTGCACAGCTTGTAAAGCTGGGTTCCTCTGTGGTTCAGTCATCACGCACTGTAAATTATTAAAGCTATGACATTTATAAACCAACACACTCAACCATCATTACAAAAAACATAGAAACAGAACTTAACCTGCAGTTAACCTGAGATCCAAGCTTTTGTTCATACATGGGATTAGTAGGACCTAATAACTAGACTCTGTCATGGTACCGGTAGTGTTTTTCGCAAAAAAAAAAATGTCATCGTATGAGGACACTAGGTCTAAAAATGTCATGCTTGTTGAATAATACCTGAGCCACTACCATGCAGAACTTGCTAAACTTCATGATAGCCTTTCTGTAGGTACTATTTTCCTGGTTACTTTGGCAATACAGCATCCAGATGTTGACCAGATCAAGATCAGTGAAGTGCCTCATCATCCTCAATGACAACTTTCAGATTGCTCCTCAGTTTAAAGAGCCAATTACAAGACATGCTGGCAGGAAATTACAGCACATTTGACCAGAACATCCTTGGTATAATTAATTCGTTGAATAAATGTACAGCTTGTAAGAACTATTAACACTTCTGAAGTGTTTTAAATGTCCCCAGATTTATCACACCACAAGGAACTATCAATAACATAATATAGTCCTGACGTCTTCAAATGAGGACTTCGTCTTTATCAACATTGTACTTTAATATAATTGCAATAATTTGTCAAATCTGCATGCCTTATGAAGCTAAAGATGTAACTGTGCATACATACATTAGTTTTAAGCATGAAATATGATTTGGATTCTTACCTTGCCCATTGTCTGATAAGAGTCGCTGTAGGAGCTTTTCACTGGGATCCCGTCACCTTGTTTTCACAAAATGAGAGTAATGCTGTCGTGTGACCTCTAAAGGGTTTGGTGGTGTCTATAATGAGGCCAATTGGTTAACTGAAAAAGTTGAAAAAAAAGTAGACTATCATGGTGAAGAGAGGCAAAAAAGCAATGTCCTCATATGAGGACGCAGGGTCTCAGGAGGCTAAGGCACTTCCCAACACAAGAGCATGAGAGATGTTTAAAAACTTTTAAGCTGAAATATTAGTAATTTGTTTTTGTACACGAACTTTTAAATCTTGTAGTATAATTTTTTTTGTCTTGCCAGGTTATTAGTTTCTCCAATCCTATCTTTATCTCAGCCTAGGGAAAAGCTTATCGGAAATCGAGTGATATGTAAACTTATTGACTTGAAGTATCTTAAATCTTGTTTTTCTTTTTTTTAGAATCCTTTGAGTATAACAGATTCTCTTGGTTTCTCCATGTACGAGACATAAATTGTCCATAAATTACTTTAAATAATCTCAGTACATCCAGATCCTGCAACATCCATCTTGTAGAAAGTTTTTAAAACTAAGCTCTTGCTTTTTTTCTTCTTAATTTTTTTTTTATTTTGCAGCTGGATGCAACAAAACGTACTTTCATATAAATAGGACTGAAAAAAGTACCTCTAAAAGTATTTTTTGTTTTTGTTCATGACATCCTTTTTCACACTATTATGCATCTTCCAAAATTCTTCAATTTCCAACATGACAATTAAGAGACTTTTTTTCCTTTTACCTGAAAAGAAACAGACCAAACATCTTCACAATTACAACTTAGAGGTCGTACAGCCTCTCTGACTTGAGACCAAATTATCCGTAAACTGTGAAAGTCCAGCTGATTTATCAGGCAGTCTGTGCATCCGGCATCAATACAAGAGAAAGTAATGTTCTTTGAGATAAAAAGGATGTTTCCTCGTCCACATCCATCGCACAATTAGTCCCTTTGAGAAGTCTGAGGTCGCAAACCATCCAACTGATAGGTATTGACACGCCTCCTGATTAGTTGTGCAGGAGGGAAGTTGTGAATCTAACAGAGTCCAAATCCCAGACAAACAAAAGGTTTAATGAATGCCACCATCTGGCTTTGTGTTTTGGTTTAGTAGACATCAAAGATTTCAAGCTGCCACTTTTTTTCTGTAATCCACACACTGTAGCCCTTAAGACAGTAAAAATAGTCTGATCTGTACTTCCATTGTCGTTGTTACAGATTTTATTCTTAGAGGAATATGTATTTCTTTTCAGGGATGCTTCACTGAACAGCCACAGATGGGGGTTCTTTGAGATCTGCTTCCTGTTTATATTTTTTCAATACTTTTGGTGATTTTCTCCAGAGACTCCTCAGTCATTTTATAACAGTTAAGCATGGAATAAAGAGCAATAAATGTTATTTTTCTGTTTTCCCTTTCGATGGAGGCGATTGGCAGTCAGGCTGGGAGTGCTGAGTCGTTGCGGAAAGCCACTGACAATCCTGGTAACAACTCAGCCTACAGGAGTCTGAGTCAGCGTTGCAGCGTCTGTGCAAGGGTAAAAAAGAGAACCTGTGTCGACCCTGACCTTCCAACCTAATTTTTATCCTCGCCTGCGGCTTCCCAAATTGATGGTGTTGTGAAACTTTCACCTCAGACATGAATTTATCCCGGTGTCTCTCACACAATCAAACCCAGGTTGTGATCTCACCCTGTCCCACATAACCTTTGTTGCTGACCTTATCCTTCTGTGTGGCAGTACAAACAGGAGGTTTTTACTCTTTATACTTTTCCAGTGTGTCACCAATAAATTTCAAGTACAATTCAAAGCACATTTTTGCYCCTATTTCATTTTTTAATCTTCCTTTTCAGGATATGTTTTACAAGTCTCAATATTTTCTGAGATCTCTCACATCTCCAACGTCTGATGCCTTTGAGCAAGGGTGCCCAAACTTTTTCTTGCCACTTTTAGAATGTTTTCTTCTCACTTTCATTCACTGTTAAATAATGTATACATTTGTTTAGCATAAGATTTTTAAGAACTTATATTTTTAAGCACTATTACAGTACATTCCCACTGAAAAAAACAACTTTTAAATAAAACTGATGACGATAAGAACAGATAAAAGAAACCAAACCTCTGTTGAGTTCTCTTAAAGGCCCAGTGTGTAGGATTTGATGTTTTCAGCGACATCTAGTGGTTGAGTGGTTGAATCATCCTCCCTGGTCCTCCCCCCACCCCCACCCCCGCTTCCAAACACAAAGGCATTGCTACGGTGTCTCTCAGGTGTCAAAAACCTTTGATAATTCCAACCRCGATGTCTACCAGCAGCTTCAGGGCTAGTGATGTTTCAAGTGGTAAGATTATGAGCTTTAWTAAGTAAAATTATCCCAGCTACAATGACAGACAACAAATATTACATTTATAGTATTACAACTAAAACCATTTTTGACGCCGCCTCCGCAGTTTGTCCTTCATGAGCCTTCGTAGACAAGATGGCGGCTGCCTGTAGTGGCGACCCGCGACCATGGAGATATAAACAGCTTTTTATAAGGTAAAAATAATAAAACAAGGTCTTTGTCTGCAATGATTAGACATGTTTTTATTATTGTCATTAGTGATTATCTCAGTTTCGGCTAAAAGAATTGACAAAATCCTACACACTGTGCCTTTAAAAAATACATACAGAATGTGAGGGCATGCTTTTAAAACCTTTTTCACATTTAAATCATTGAGTTGGGTTCTATATAAAGTGTAACTGCAATGCTTTTATCTCAGTTTATCCATATTTTAACTTTACCAGCCCCTTTTCTGAGGTGCTTTTCTGAGCACGTTTCAAACCCAAGGCCCGCGAGACAAATGTGGCCTGCCTCTGCATTTTATGTGGCCCTCAATACTCCATTGCTACAAGGAGTATAATGTATTGTGTTTATTCCAACTTAAACACAAAGCTGTAATGCTGACGTGGTTCTCTGTAAAAAGGAATTTGACACCCCTGTTTTAGAACATGAAACATAAAAACATCCGCAGGATCTTAAAATGCAGGAATACTACTGTAGTATTATGATAATTATTATGTGATGATTCAAAATTAATATAATAAATACATTTAAAAAATCAATGTTATTTTTAAATTTAAAAAGACATCACAAACATATRTCTTTCACGTATAAATCATGTTTTTTAATGAGTCCTCTTGTATCTATCTATTCTACRTACATCTTTGTGACCTTTGTGTACAGAGGTTCTGCTGTATATTTGTGGAATATTTTTCCTGTTKTGGAATAATTATCTGGGGTAATTCTGACAATCTTTGAAGCTCTTTGTGAATCATCTTGAGCCAAAGTCAAACATTTTTTTCTCACAGCCTTGCAGAACTCTTTAGATCTGGGTGACGCCACACACTTCCATCAGTCAAGATGGCATCAGACCCGACATGTCAGTGGTACAAATAAGATGTCACTTCAAAAGGATTGTTCATTATGCTGTGAGACGTCGGTTTCAAGTTTGGTGCATACGAGTGTGTGCTTACTTGTGAATTTCTTCTTGATATTTATGAGAGAACACGTTTTACCGTCCAGTTAAAATTTGATTTATATCTAAACGCTTTTAAATTCAAGATACCACGGAAGTCTAACTGTTTTTATCTCAGCTACACAAAATCAATCTTTGCTCGACGAAGTGATTGTATCTTGTTTCTGTTTGTTCAGATTAGGTAAAGCAGATGAATTAAAGAGACTCAAGCTGATCTGCAGCTAGTTAAAACTTTTCATTCATGATGTACAGATATACAATATGAGTTATATCAATAAAACAAATGCATTGTTACCAAATTTGTGCTGATTTTAAAGACCTGAACCTAAACAGGAATGTCCAATGTGTTAACTAAGAGGGAAGTTTTTTTTCTCCAGATCATAATTTGATAACTAAAGCAGGCTGAATAGATTTTGTGCCAACAGATTACAGTGTGTAGCTGCTCCTGAAAGAACAGGGCAGTGATGATGTTATCTTTAGAGAAACATGTTAGCTGATGATTTACTGGATCATTTAAAAAGGAGTAAAAGGGATAATTAGGCTGTGCTGGTCCCAACTTCCTTTGTTGCCGGGTGCAATTTGTCATTCAGACAGCTTATAGTAACAATAAAGTTATTTACAACCAGWCAGATGTGAAAGGAAAGAGGTTTAAATTAACGTAACAGCTTTATGAAGTCTAAACAAATATCAAAAGTCAGAAGTTTAATTTTTTTTCTCAGGAATTTAAGAACGGATGTCAACATACATTATTAGCATAAAGTTGCTTTTAGTGTTTTCGGGCCAAATCTGTGGAGTCAAAAGGCAGAGAATTTGGCAGCGCACCCAGCTTGTGTCTGTGAGAGAAGTAGGGAGGATGGATTAGAGCTTTCAGGGCTCTTCACACAGACTACTAATCATCCGGTTTAGATCACACGTCTTCACTTTAAAAGTGAATCATTCCAAGTGTCACCGGGATGTCAGAGTTAAGCTGCGTGTCTGCTAATATTCTCTTCAAAGGGCAGGAACGGTCTCAGCCAGTTCAAAACAAACGCACCGTCGATCATCAAAGTCATATCATTACTGCATTCTTATTTGATATCATTTTATCATAAACCCTGAGGATCCTTTATGCTTTGTACCTGCAGTTTTAGGGTTAACTGTTATTAACATTTAGACTTCTATTTTGTTTCAKTCATTTCATTTAATATTTTCTTTTAAAGGTTGCAGGGAGCTGCTGATGTCCAGTTGTCACTGGGTGAGAACCGGATTTGACCCTGACCTCCAAACTCACCATGTCGCCCGATTAATTCTTATATAT